TCTACCTTGCAGCTGGCAAAGGTATTCTCGCTTCCATCTATCCCAGAAGTGTTGCAACTGCTGCTGAACTGCCTGCCAATGCTTCAGTCGATTTGTTGGCACCGTTCGCAGATCTTCTTCGGGAAAAGATTGTAGAGAGGTTCCAACCAAGAAATGAGCTGGGGTTAACGGTTCAAGATCATTTGGATCGTTAGACATCGGTGTTAGGGGTCTGGAGTTCAAGCAACCCTCTACCTGAACCAGCAGCGTGTTCATATCTTCCAGTGTAACTGGGTTATAACCAATGACCCGTAGTATATGGTGTTTGGCCGATCGAACCGCTGCTTCCCACAGTCCTCCGAAGTGGGGTGCGCTGGGAGGGTTGAAGTGCCATTCAATCCCTTCATCAGCGCAGAACCTAGACACCTGATCTCGATGTTGTCTCTCCTTCCATAATGTAAACAGTTCCTGCAGCTGGTTTCGGGCTCCAACGAAATTAGTGCCGTTGTCCGAATACAAATCGGTACACCTTCCTCTACGTGCGATGAAACGTCGGAGTGCTTGCAGGAACCTGTCGGTGGACAAGTCAGACACCAGTTCGATGTGCACGGCCTTCGTACACATACATACAAAAATGGACACGTATGCCTTGACAGCAACACGACGTGGTCCTGGCCGAATATAAACCGGCCCGAAGTAGTCAACACCAGTTTTCGAGAAGGGGCGAGAAACTGTGACTCTCGATGCAGGTAACTCTCCCATGAATTGCTGCACCAGCTTTGGTTTCGACCTGAAGCACGTTAGACACTGATGGACTACCTGTCTAGCAACATTTCTTCCTCCTAATGGCCAGAAACGTTGACGGATCGATCCCAACAAAAGTTGCGGACCAGCGTGAAGCAAACGAAGGTGATATTGCTCAAAAATCATCTTGGTACAGCGATGACGTGCTGGCAGTATCATAGGGTGCTTGGTGGCGTCAGACTCTCTGGAATTCTTCAAACGCCCACCAATCCTCAAAATACCTTCTTCGCAAATAAACGGGCTATACCAGCGCAAGGGTGACCTTCTGGATACAGGTTCATTCCTCCTAACAGCCTTCAGCTCTTCTGGAAACGCTTCTTTCTGGACCTTCCGAATGAGAACGAACTCCGCCTTGCGTAACTCGTCTGACGACAGGAATCCAGTCGATCGATTTTCCCTTGAGTTTCGAAGTGACCGCATCAATCGCAACCATATGGCGATGCGCCGAACCAGTACTGGGTAGGAAGTTGACTTGGAAATGAACCATTCTTTTTTCCTCTTCGAACACCCCCTCAGACAGAAGGTTCACTGAGATTGGCCAAGTGTTTCGATCCTGAGCTAGCCAGCTCGGCCCATGCCACCAAAAATTGTTGTTGAGTATCTCTTTCGGTCCGATTCCCCTTGAAACCAAATCTGCCGGATTGTCAGCACCCGCAATGTGCCTCCATTCGCAACCTTCCGTAATCGCCTGGATTTTCGCTACTCTGTTTGCGACGAATACAGACCAAGTAGACGGAGAAGCCTGTATCCAGCGAAGAGCACACGTTGAATCTACCCAAAACGTCGTGCGAACAGTAAGTTTGGTAGCCTGTAGAACCTTCTCGAGAACTTGTGCAGCTACCAGTGCACCACAAAGCTCCAATCGAGGAATTGATTGGGATTTCAGATGAGCAACCTTGGATTTGGAAGTGAGTAGTTGAATCTTGACATTTCCATCCTGATCCTGGCTTCGAATATATAGGCATCCACCGTATGCCTTCATCGACGCATCCGAGAAGCAGTGAATCTCGATCTCCATGGCTTGAGGAATGATCACACAACGATCTATGCGGATATCGTTGAGGATCGGTAGTTGGACGTGAAAATTTCTCCAAGACTCACCCACCGTCGAAGGTATCGGCTTATCCCAATTTAACCTCTTGCCGTCTTCATCCTCCAAAGTCCACAAAAGCTGCATGAAGACCTTAGCAGCTGTAATAGTGGCACCGATGAATCCCAATGGATCAAACAAGGTGGCGATGATCGAGAGGACCTGACGTTTGGTGAGTAGTTCGTCTGGATTGATCGGCGGAATTTCAAACTGAAATCGGAAAACGTCGGAATTAGGGAGCCATGTTAGTCCTAACGCCTTGACGGAAGGGTCTGGATCGAGATTGATTCCTTCGGATGCACGGATCGCAAGATTCTCTTCGGGAATTCTGTGCAAGACTTCTGCACAGTTGGATGCCCATTTTCTGAGCCGAAAACCACCGCTGCTCGTCATTCCGTCTAGCTGAATCTGCAGCTTCTTGGCCTCCTCCAGAGTATCGCAGCCCGTGATCACGTCATCCATATACGTATCTTCGGTAATCGCAGCAACTGCTAATGGATATCGATCGCCTTCGTCCATTGCCATCTGGTTGAGTGTGCGAGTTGCTAGGAACGGAGCTGGTTTCGTTCCGTAAGTGACAGTGTTCAGCTCGTAAATTCCTACCTCCTCTAATGTTGATGAACGCCAGAAGATGGATTGGAGTGGTCGATCAATGGAAATAACGAAGATCTGGCGGAACATTTTCTCCACGTCGGCGACTAACATGATTTGCTTTGTGCAGCAACGAAGGATGATGGATCGAAGATCTTGCTGTATTACTGGCCCTACCAGCAATACATCGTTCAACGACAATCCCGTAGACGTTTTACAAGACGCGTCGAACCCAATTCAAAGTCGAAAAATATATCCTTTTTTATTTATCATCTGAAAGAGCTTCGTTTTCTGAGCACAGCGATATTTTTTTCGAACCCACACACTTTCATCTCGATTTTTAAATCAAGATATAAAGCAAAATAATAACTTCACTGTTTGACACTAAACTGACAAACTGACAGCTCGCTCCCATGCAAAGTGACACCGAGGAGCGCGAATAAGCTGATTTTGCAAATGTAATCGTACTTATTTAAAATAGTTCCAGTGTACCAAAATTTATGAAACTTTGTGTTTGGGTTCCATTTTTAATGCAGATTACGAATATGCATTTACCTCAATACCCTTAAAGAACCCAATTGTTGGTTGAGATTTCACGACGTTCCATTCTTATAAACAAATGGCTTTCATCGTTACCTGTTATGATACTTATAGTGATGTGACCCGATATAGGAGATGTGATCGATAAAAAACGATATTATTTACTTTTGACTATATGTTTTTAGTATTACTTCTACGTGAAGTCAACGATTTACATAGTTGAAGATGCTAATTTCAAATAACAGACTGTAGTGGTAATTTTTATACGATAGATGGAGTAGATGAAAGCATAGAGTTGATAGTTCCGTTAGAGTACGGCAGTGTGAAGATTGTATATAGATATTAGAATAGCGAACTAGGACAACTTTTAAGGAAGGTACACATCGGTTTTTTCATCTCTCTTTACCAAACTCCCCCTTTGGAGAGGGATGGTCAGGGGTGTCCCCCCCCCCCCCGCCACCACTGGCAAAAGAGATGAAAACCGACCCGTTCAAGTACCAACTGTGTGTTTGAAACAGTTCTACCGATTTTTACCGCACTTCAATTGTTATTTGAAGGAAGGCATCCAGTCAAAAGTACATAACTCTGGATGGGAGCATACCATCAATTACTGTCAATGGTCGAAAGGTACAGTAGCAACACCTACCCCACCCGTGTCCCCTCGAGATCGTCAAGTCGACGATGACAGGAGCACATATCGTGGTAGGGGTAAACAATAGTTGCAATTTCCAAACCTACGACTGGATGCCTTCCTTCAAATAACAATTGAAGTGCGGTAAAAATCGGTAGAACTGTTTCACTCTGGTAGAACTGGTAGAACTGGTCACTCCGCACACCAATTTTGGGTCATCTTTTTTGTCAGTGTGCCGCAGGTGTGCCGATTGTGCCGGTCATAGAGTAAGCTGCGGTTGTTTGTAAAATACCCATCCGGCAACCCGGTATTTCTGACGCCTTGAATGTTTTGGTTTGAAATCGAAAGGATAAATCGGATTGAGGATGACCCGCGGAAAGAGGCGAGTGTGTTCATAGGATAGGGTTTTAGGGTTTTAAAATGCGCTCAAAGGCAGACTAGAAACTTAGTTTTTCGTGATGTGAAAAGCAACGGTTTATCAGCGGTCGGAAAGAGTTGGAACCGGTTGGGAACATTGTTGGAGACCGACTATAGAAGAGGATGATGAATATGACTTCTGTTATTTGTTGTGTGTGAGTTACAGCATTATTTGAATTAAGGGTACTAATGGGTACTGATTAACTGCCTCTTTCTCTGGAGCCCAGTCTAGAACCTACATTTCGTATTTAGATCTATAAGTGAACCGAGAAGTGAACTGCTTGTCTGAGTTCCTCTGGTATATTTAATTAGAGGACTTTCCTGAATATACAGTAAACAGCACGTAATGTTGTGAACAACTTCAATGACAGTTGTCCGTCAATGCTCCCAATTTATTTACAACAATCCAATGCCTACGAGATTGTGCCGATGGATGTGCCCAAGCTGTGCCGAATCTAATTTCGACACTATGTGCTGAGTGACCTACCCCTTGGTGTAAATAGTAAAATATTATGAATATCAATTTACTTAAGAATAACAATTATTTACACAATAAAAAAAACTGTTAATTTAGTGAGTAAAACTTACACGCCCTAATAAAAATGGTATGGTTAATTTGCTTAACGACGTGTTCTGGGTATCTTTCAAACCATTGGTGGAATAGTTCAATGATTTGGGTTATCGTTCGTTTATAGTTATTTTTATTAGGGAAGTTTACTCACAACCTGAGTGACTCTGTTTGAAATTATCAACCGATTCGACTCAATTTTGAGTGAATCTGGCTGGCCGTGCAGATGTCAAAACGCCACGTGATTTGAAATGAATCATCCCTCGAAAAACTGCAGCGAAAGTCAGTTCGAAGCAGAATACAAACAAAACAACGGCGATTTTCCCATCTTTCTTCGCGCGTCTCACGACCCCACGTCCACCCATTCGCACTCGTTTCGTGTTTTCTGCGTTTTCTGCTTTCGTCAGCCGATCAAAAAATTAGACTGCGTGCGCGACGATTACGTTGCTGACATAAGTGGGACAAACACGGAATTTCACATCCATTCCGTTTATTGGTCGGGCGCTTTTCCACCGAAAAGTGAAAATTTTACCAGTTCGGGGCACAAACAGTGGTGAAAAGTCAAGTTTTCTGGTGGAAAAGGGTGTTTTTTTTCGTCGCGACGCGATTCTTACTACTCGGATGATTGGATAACCTAGAAAGGTGTGTTTCGTCGCTCTGCCCTCCGTCTCTGTAGCCAGCCAGCCAACGCTACGGGATCTTTCATCGCCACCACGTCGGGAATGGATCGAATCAAGTGTTAGGGGGAGTTTGTCTGGTGTGTTCTCGCCCCCAAATCGGAGTTGATTTGAAATAGCTCATTGTGTCTGTCCTCTTGTCTTGTTCAACGTGAAAAGGTCAGTCTTCAGATTGTGTTATTTATGTTTATTTTCTGAGCACTCAGCGCACTGAGAGGAAACTAATAAGAAGTAAAATATAGGTCACTCTAATTTGACCGAGAATGAGCGTTTCAAGGTTGCTTCCGTTTAATTTGACGACTTCGCAGAAGGTAAAATTGCAGATATTGTCTGGGGAATTTTGGGCTGGTTGTGAATAATCGATTGTTTTTCTTCAGGTAATCATTGTTTCCGTGACCGCCGGTGTGGCCGTTCTTGGGGCGATAGCTAGCTACTTGGGCCGTCGGAGGACTCCGAGGCCACAGCAGCGACGCCTTCGGAAACCGGGTGGACGGAAAGCTCGCAATAGCGTTCGCAGTCCCAACGATATAATATCGCTAGCAGGATCGAAAGCTTCCGGTCGTTCATATAGCCCCGGAGGATCGATTCATGGCATTTCGGACCGAATGTCGTTGGCTTCCGGTTCCCTGGCTGCTGGAGGGGTCGGAGTGGGTGCTAGTTCAATCATTGGGGCAACGACTCCGCTTACCCCACAGCAGCTGGGAGTGATGGGCATGGAAGCGTTGGAGACGGTTATCAGCTACTGGGAAGATGCTTTGACAGGTCGGAACGATCTTGATCTACCGGCAAGGATCACCGCCGACCAGGAAGAATTCTGTAGGGAACTGCAGAACCTGTTGGATGCAGCATACAATTTACAAGAGCAGGGAGAACTGCTGTTCCTGGATGAACGATCCGTGCTGTTTAGGGACGACGAGCATAAGGTAGCCCAGGCCGGTAGGTTATCCAATGGACATAGATCTAGTTCAGATCCAAACTTTGATTCCGCTGAGAGTTTTGCGTCTGCTTTGGATCAGGTAATTGCTACAATTGTTATTCGAGTAATTCGGAATGTTGTAACAACGTAATGTTGTGCTATTGAAGGTTGCTGATCTTCGGGAGTTTGAAGACTACGGTGAAGTCTTCTCCGATGTAGAAAACTATCCACTCTACCAGAGTGCACTGGAATTGTTGGATGATCAACCCATTCCCTGTCGAACGATTCGAACCGACATGGTCAGTTGTAATTCGGACGCAGAATACTACGCTAAACTGCACTGCGTACGACTTGCCTTCCAGTTGTTATTCAAGGTAAATTTTGAAGCAAATACTCCGAGAAGTGTAAATACAATAATAACTACCTTTCGGACAGGACCCAAAGAACTGCCGCTGGGTGGCGGACACCGGCCGACAAGTACTCACCGACCTGCTTTGCCTAGGCGACAAGGATCCGAAGGATTTCCTCGTGGCCTATGAATCCATGCTTGAATTCCTCCAGGACATGGACAACTGGCAGGACATAGAGCTAGAACTAGAATCTCGCAACGTCAAGGCCATGACCTTCTACGACATAGTGTTGGATTTCATCATTCTGGACGCATTTCGGGATCTCGATTCGCCTCCGAACAGTGTTCTCGCGGTCATCCAGAATCGATTTCTTTCCAACAGCTTCAAGGAGACGGCTCTGACGACGGCCGTTTGGTCCGTGCTGAAGGCCAAGAAGCGTTTGCTCAAGTTCCCCAATGGGTTTATGTCGCACTTTTACTGCATTACCGAGCAGTTGTCCCCGCTGATGGTGTGGGGATTCTTCGGGCCCGACGAGAACCTAATGGAAGTGTGTAAGTACTTCAAGGAGCAAATGGTAAGCTTCCTGGTGGACATTTACAACTTCCAAAAGTGTCGCTACACCACGGTGGAAGAGCTAGCCGAGGACATTCTGTCGAACATGAAAATGAGGGTGAACAATATAGGCGTCAAGTTCAATCAATAGGCATGTGGCGCAGCAGCTAGTTATGTATTTTATTTGTATTGGTTGTTGGAAATGTTTCTATTTTTATCGCGAAGACAAATTGTGTTACTTTCGTTCAGTGCGAATATTAATCAAATTATTTTTAAATTAGAACAGGGATAGCTTTGAAAGACATTGGTTACGGAGCAGATTCGAAGCTACTGTACAGAAGTAGGTCGGATTAGCGGTTCAGCGAGTCTGGATTGTAGATAACATTAGTTGTAGAGAGTACTAGCATCAACTATAGACATTAATTTCTTTGGTAAACGATGGATATTTTGTTCGATATCACAATTCCAATGGACGAGCACTACGGAACGGAATACGGGGGAAACTTTCATTGGGTCGTTGATTTGATCATCCAATCAAGCGCATAAGTTTCAATTTTTAAAGAACTTGTGTCAATGGCGGCCTGGCTCCAACGAGAATTACTCTTATCGATTCATTCAGCCAACCCAACAGGTACTTTGTATTTGGCCTATTCACTTTTAAAATCTCTAATGACGATAAGCTCTATCTAGGATTAACTTTTAATACCGATGCTATTTGGATGATCCGCAAAATATTTGCTTAGAATCGTGTTGATTAACTCTGATGACGACAACAGAACAGCCCGTGATTCTTGATCGGGATTTAATCCAATGATAATTACCACCATAAGAGATGTATCGGTAGGGTAGTAGGGATGGATTTTAGGATTCCGATCAAAAGAGAATGATTTTGCAGTGTTTACGATTCAACCTCGAAGCATGCTAACCACAACAAAGAACTGCAGGGACTTACTGTAATGTATCCTAACCCTATGTATGTTTCATAATTTCCAACTCCGTCATAGTTCACGCACTTCTCAAAAACGGCTTCTTTTCGGCAGTCCGCGTGTAGTAGACACCCCTGGGCTTACCCCGCTTCCTGAGAGCGCTGAATCCACCCAACGTTGCCTTGCCCAACGAGCACTGCGAGTTCAAATCTTTCACGTCGGAACACCGATCGGCAAAGTAATCCCTCGTCTTGAGTGACTCCTTGAAGTAGTCTACTGCCCTCTGGTGGCTGCAGCTGATGTTCCATCCACATCCAGGTTGTTTCACGCCTCCATTCGGATAGAAATCGGCCGTCCCAATGCTGGCGAATATTCCCAGCGCTTTCCCATTGGTGTGAATTACCTCTACGTACTGTGCATCCTTGTCCGAGAGACGCTTGGCGGGCTTTTTCAGACGAAACAGAGGCGATGCTGGATCCAGTCCGACGATGCAGGCTACCTTCCGTCTGGTATTCTTTCCCGCTAAACCAGCTATGTGTGCCCCCAAGCTGTGTCCAATGATCCCAATCTGATCCGGCGTTTGACCAAAGTCCAACAGCCTATCGACCACGGCTGCTACCAGTTTGCCAACTTTCGGCACACGATATCGAGCCACTGGATACAGCAGCGTCTGGGCGCCTTTCTCCCAATCTACAGCGAGGACATTGAAGTTATCTTGCTCTAGGAAATCTTTCGCCAAAGGTTCAATGACTTCCGACTCGGAACTGCCGAGCCACCCGTGAATCAGGATCATCGTAGGTCGCAGTACGTTGAACCCATGGTCATGCGGCAGGGATTCGATATCGTCAAGGCTCAGCTCCATGGATTGGCTGCTGTTGGCACGGGAGTAGAACCGAAACCGAACATACTTGGCCGCATCATAATGGGAGCTGTTCTGACGGCTTTCGTGGACCGCCATTCGTGACATGATTTGGAATTCCCCTTCCTTGTCCGGAATAGTTATGTAGTTTTCCTGTTGGTCGTGCGAAAGCCTCAGCTGCGGTATCAACGTGTCGCCTTCGTTGTCCTGTTCGTATTCCATATCGTCCAGGTCCAACCGCTGGGAAGTGGTAAAGGAATCGTCTTCATCGTCGTCATCCAGGAAAGTGATGCGGTCATCGTCTGAAAGTTAGGAATTGTAGCAAGGCATGTTTTAATAATGATCTTAAGACCGGGATTCTGTCGGGGCGTTCGGATATGAAAGTCCTAAACAACTGCGAAAACTAATCTAAATACCAAAACACTTTATTGAATCAAATCTACACACTCTCGCTCACATTACTCCGCAAAAACGGCTTATCTGCGGCAGTCAACGCGTAGTATACGCCGTTTGGTTTGCCTCGTGTCCTCAGGGCATCGAACCCGCCCATTGCGGCCTTGCCGAGAGAACAGTTGGGTTTCAAATCTTCCACATCTACACATCGGTCAGCAAAGTAATCCTTCTGTTTCAAGGACTCCTTAAAGTAGTCAACCGCCCTCTGATGACTGCAGCTAAGCCTCCATCCACATCCAGGTTGCTGCGAACCTCCATTGGGGTAAAAATCAGCTTTTCCAATGTTTCCAAACATTCCCAGTGCCTTGCCGTTCGTATGAATCACCTCCACGTACTGTGCATCGTTATTCGATAGACGTTCGAGTGGCTTCTTCAAGCGGAACAAAGGTGCCGCCGGATCCAGTCCAACGATGAACGCTACCTTCTGCTTTGTCTTCTTCCCTGCCAAACCAGCTATGTGTGCCCCTAAGCTGTGCCCAATGATCCCAATCTGGTCCGGCGTCTGACCAAAACCGAGCAACTGGTCTATGACAGCTGCCACCAATTCGGCAACCTTCCCAACTCGGTATCTAGCTACAGGATACAGTAATGTCCGAGCTCCCTTCTCCCAATCCACCGCAATAACGTTGAAGTTTCCTTGCTCCAGGAAATCCTTGGCCAATGGTTCAATCACATCCGAATCGGATCCTCCAAGCCACCCGTGGATCAAAATCTTGGTCGGTAGATTTACATTGAATCCGTGATGATCCGGAAGGAACTGAACTTGATCGTATCGCAGCTCGACGGGTTGGTAGTTGTTCGACCTAGCGTAGAAGTGCAGCTTGACGAATTCGGCTGCCTCGAACTTGGTACTATTCTGGCGACTCTCGAGGACTGCCATTCGAGAAACGATTTGAAATTCGCCCTGCTTGTCCGGTAATGGGATGTAGTTTTGGTTTTCATCCCGCGTAATCATTTGGGGGATCAGCGAGTCGCCGTCGTTGTCCTGTTCATACTCCATGTCGTCCATGTCCAGGTGGAACCGATTGGCGAAAGACTTTTTATCGTCGTCATCGTCTTCGCGGAATATGATTCTGGTTTTGTCTGAAATGGAAAGGCAGGTATGGTCAGTATGGTCATTGGTGTTTGTGCTACAGGGTTTGTGGGTCTAACCTTAATACGATTCGGGTTTAGACACTGTTAGTTTCACTTACAAAAAACATTACTTGAATATGTCTTCTTCATGTCCGTTCCAAAATATAAAAAAAAAGTTAAGGGTTGTGTCTGAAGCTCGATCGCATTGTTGACGCAAAACTACGAGATTGTTGTAAATTCAATTTTTGAAATTAGAAAATCCGTTCCTTCATTATTCATAATTAAGTTCCAAGCATGTTCACTCATCTTTTGGAAACCTACTAATGGCAAAATAACTTTAGAAATCATAGTGCCACTGACATCACAAATCTTTATGTTGCAGAACTATGGCAGACAAGTTTCTTTAAACTAACACTTATTTAAGTTAACTTTAATTCAGTGCTCAGTTAAAAATCTATAAAATAGCAAACGCTTTAATTTAACAAATTTAATTTCAATTTAATTGTTTCATTGTAGTATATTAAACTCCCAATAGATTGGATTAAACCCCATATATACAACGGGGCTTTGTCATTTCCTCGAAGGATGTTTCGCCGAAGAACATTTCGCCGAATGGGCCATTGATTATTTAAAAATTTCCGAAATCAGTACAACTCAAGAAGTGATCATGAAGTATTCCTATAAATCAAACATATCTATTATTTGAAAATTTATGAAACCAGTACAACTCAAAAGAATGATGGCGAAATGACCCATTCGGCGGAACGTCCTTCAGCGAAATGTCCCGCTCCCGTTTAGGATGGTGCTGCAGAAATGCCTGGATGAAGGCCACTGCCCAGACAGATGGAAAAGTACAGAAGCTAGTGTTGCTGCCAAAGACAGGAAAACCGCCAGGGGATCTAGTATCGTATAGGTCTATATGCCTGCTGGATACACTAGGAGAAAGGATTATTTATCCTCAACAGGCTGCCGAAATGTACGGAGAGTGAGCATGAATATTGTCAACGATGCAGTTCGTAGACGTCAAGAATGCATTCAATAGTGCCAGCTGCTAACTACCTTTGTAGGATTCTGAGGAATTATTTCCAGAACCAGACACTGATCTACGAGACAGATGTGCAACATAGTGGATCACCGCGGAAAGTTCACATCCTTGCTAGAGCGGTCTGGAACGAGATGTACAACGGCGTGCTGATGCTCTGGCTGTCCAAAGGTGTCGAGATAGTCGGTTTTCCGGTAACAAGCGAGACGCTAGAAGAGGTGGAAATGTTGGCCTCCAAGGCAATCGAAACGGTTAGATAATGGATGTAAGGTGCGAAGCTGCAGATAACCCACTACAAAATGGAAGATGCTATTGGCGAAGACATCATATCAATTTGTTGTCTTCGCTATTGATCAGTATTGCCGTGAAACGCGTGCTGTAATACCTAGGAATGATAACACTAGTTTACAAAACAACATAAAAAGTGTGAACTTTAGTGGTTGACCAACGTTTCTAATGCAAAATCCTACGCTGAATTCAATGCCGTGGTCAGAAAAAATTAAAGTAGAGCCATTTTTGAGATATACAAAAAAATTGATTTTTTGAATTTTGGACAAAAGTACGATTACTAAAATGTCAATATCTTTGGAACTAGTGCACCAATTTTAAATCTTTTTTTATGAAAATGAAGCTAAATAAATTTTCTATCGTTCACTACAATATTATGTCTTGATTAAAAATTTAATTTTGAAGTCATTTAAAAATCATTCCATAATTTATTCTTAAAGTCCATTAAAAACTGGAGAAAATGAGCCTTTAATGGATGAAATCGGTTGGAAATTGTCGAGGTTATGAAATTTTTTGTAAAATCATGGAAATTGAATGTTCCAAGATTGGCCGTTGTCCCGCTCCTAGGTTCATGCACCACTTCCAGTAAGCCTTTCTGCGGACGTGTACGCATACGGTGCATTTCACTAACACTACCAGCTGTCACGCAAAATTAAATGGGATATTTTCAACAATATAATTTACGCTAGTGTTTGTGAGACCGCTCGGCGAGAACCTAACGCAACCAACTCAATTTGACAGCTTTCTTTCTTTAACATTGCTTAACGATGTATACGACAAAACGTGAATTCAAGTGTTAAAATGATCCTCAAAAGTTTTGTTACGCGTGTGGCAACTATATATTTACAAAATCGGTCAATTTCACTGCTTCGTTGCAAACTGCATACAGGCTTTATTTTAAAATTGATCCTGGAGACTTTGACAAACCGTGGATTCCAAAAGTATTATGTAGTTCGTGCAAAACGTGCTTGGCTAGATGGATGTCAGGCGCAAGGTAAATTGATTTTTTGAATAAACTTTCATATAAACAATTTATGTACAGCATGGTACATAAGCTTTGTTCTTTCCTGATCGACATTATCTTATTTCATCTATTGTTGATAACTGTTAATGTCTTACTTACTAACTCACTTATTTGTTATCTGTCAGTCGCTATTTGTCCTTTGACATGCCCACCATATGGCGTCGACCGTTTTGTCATGCAACGGATTGTTATTTTCGCTTGACAAAAGTTAAGCAACAAGGACGTCACAAAACAGTTGAGTATCCACAAGTGGCTTCTATGACAAAACCTGTTCCACATTCAAGTTCGGTCCCGTATCCTGTTTATCCAAAGCGGAAACGAGCGCCCTCTGTTGAATCGACCGTTACAAAAAGTGAGGAGGAATTCAAGGAGGAATGCGAGGAAGACTTCGAGGTGGAATTGGAAAGAAACCCAAAACTGTTTACACAATCCGAATTTAATGATTTGGTGCGAGATCTCGACTTATCGAAGGAGAAATCCGAATTGCTGGCATCACGCTTGAAAGAACACAACATGCTGAGCAAGGAGGTCAAAATTTCTTGTCACAGGAATCGTCACAAGAAATTTGACAAATATTATTCTACAAAGGACAAGGCATGTTTTTGCCATGACGTAAACGGCTTGTTTGAAGAGTTTGGTGAGCCGTATGATCCAGCTGAATGGCGTTTATTCATCGATAGCAGCAAGTTGAGCTTGAAAGCCGTTTTACTGCATCAAGAGAATGAGAAACCTTCTATTCCATTAGCTCATGCCGTTAATATGAAGGAAACGTATGAATCAATGGCTCTATTGCTCAATTTGATAAATTACAATCAACACAATTGGAAAATTTGTTCCGATCTTAAAGTGGTTGCCATGTTGACTGGATTGCAACAGGGATAAACAAAATATATGTGTTTTTTGTGTAAATGGGACAGTCGAGCTCGTAAGGAACACTACGTCCGAAAAGATTGGCCAAAACGGGATAATTTCACAATTGGTAAAGACAACGTTAAAAATGATCCTCTTGTGGTAAAAGAACGCATAATACTTCCACCACTACATATAAAACTTGGGCTATTCAAAAATTTCGTCAAAGCGTTGCAAAAAGAAGGGCCGGCATTCCAGTACTTGAAATCAGTATTACCAAATTTATCTGACGCAAAGATAAAGGAAGGTGTATTTGTTGGCCCACAGATCAAAAAACTGCTCAATGATTCCGCATTCAATACAGTTTTGACACCAGATGAGGAAGAAGCGTGGGAATCGTTCCAGCGTGTTGTCACAACCTTTTTAGGAAATTTCAGAAGCCCAGATTATGAGGAAGCCGTCGATGAATTGTTCAAAAATTATGAGAAAATAGGTATAAATCAAAAATATTGTGTTTGTTGCATATAATTAATTTCAAATCCTTTTATTTCACTGAACACAGGTGTGAATAT